GGGGGGGGGGGCGGTGTTATATGTCGATCGTCCGTTCAGGGTTAAGGTGATGTTGAGGTTGAGGTTGCGAAGGTTCGCCTCTAAATATAGCGGACGCTTTCGTAGGGTCGAATCAATAGGCACGTTGCGTATATACATATGTGTATCCAGAATGCCTAAATTCGTCCCGAATTCTTTTAGGCTTAAAATATACCTGTGCTCGCACACACGTGCGCTCCTGAGTTGAAATCACACGATGCATGATCTCATGCCTCCTTACATGCATGCTGACCGGCAGTTCAGCCTGCTGCATAAATCGCTATCGCGCACTGGAAGATCTATGCAGCGAACTGAGTTGTCGATCAGCGTGCATTCGCGTAAGAAGACATGAAATCGTGCATTCGTGTGACTCCAACTCTACAGCACACGGCGACGCTCCTCTCGCGGATAAATGCATCGTGCGATCTTCGCGATCCGCCCAGTTGACGTTCCAGCCCGATGATGGATGGCGGCCACAATTGTGAATTATTTTCGGCACGAATATCCTTGCCCTCCCCATCTTGCTCATCTTCGATCGTGCCGGAATTGAGCAGGTCAAGCTCGATGGTGGCTTCTCTATTAGGACTTGCACATCACAGGACTGATCGAATATTGATATATGCATTTATGCGCTTGTTCTACGCAATCGATTCGATTCAAACTCTACATCCGAGTAATAATTACGATTTATTACATATCGGCGCAAGCAAGCTTGATTCCATGTCACACAGTTCTCATACATATCTGTCTTCAAAAACAGTCGATTCACCTATGTACCTGGTGTCTATGAGCCGCTAAATGATTCATGCAACAGACGAGACATAGAGCGGTACTTAAAGATACTTAAAGGCACAACATCGTATAACAAACAACCATCGAAAGTACCAGCGACGTATCTATGTCCACGTGTACTTCCGTGTACGCCGAGGCGGGGCGTCCGGTTTAAAACACCTCACCTCGTAGTCGTTGTCTATCCTCGCAGCGAAAAGCGCGATTCTTAACGTTCACGTCGGAGTACGTGACATGATCGAGAGCAGAAGAGACTGACGTTTTCGTCCGTTTCCGTTAGTTTTAGCGCACGCCCCATCGACGTCGACGAGCTTGTGGACGTCGCGTTCCAGTCCGAGGTCGGATGTGGTGCACGCACTCGGCGACTACGGAAACGACAGCGGCAGCATCTACGGATCCGGGGTTAACGACCCACCCGAGCGATCTGGCAGGTGAGAGGGCATATTGCATGAAAAGGGGAGACTGCCGGTGATGGACAATGAGCAACCGCACCAGGAACTGGTCAAGTGCGTGGTCGTGGGTGACACGGCAGTCGGAAAGACCAGACTGATCTGCGCCAGGGCCTGCAATAAGCACGTGTCACTGTCGCAGCTTCTGACCACTCACGTGCCCACAGTCTGGGCTATCGACCAGTATCGGATCTACAAGGATGTAAGTTCGCTCATGATCGACCACGGATTGTACTGTGAAAGCAAAACGAATCAGAACTGCGCGTTTCGTATCGATAAAGACTCCAAAAATATCATCTTATTTTTTGCGGAATCTTCTTACACACACTGAGAACAAAAATATCGGAAAATTCATTTGTGGGATATAAAGTTTATTTCGCAGTAATACACTTTATTTTACAGAAATAAACTTTATATCTCTCCTACAGATACGTTTTCGGATATTTCTTTTTTATATGTGGCCTCAAAAGAAAATTCTAGTAAAAATAAAAAAAATATTCCAACATCCAAGATAAAAAATTCTAGTTGCAAGATGTTATTTCCTGCAATCCTATATCCTAAACCGAAATCCTTACTCAAAGAGTGTTCCTCTTTTAACAAAAAGATATAATGTAGTGCTTAATTAAGAAATAATATTTTCCTTTTGATATTAGAGAATTCTTTTAAAGCCATATATGTAAGAGGATACTACTAAAAAGAGAAGATTATATTTTTTGGGTGTAGATGCGCGAACTATTCGACGAATTTGGAATGATTTGAAACTATAGAAACTGAAACAAATTTGAAATGACTTGAAATGAAAGGCTGAAGAGGTTTATCGAGAAAATCTATATGATAATTTTGTCATCTTATATATATATATATATATATATATATATATATATATATATATATATATATATATCATACTGTGTTAGGTCTTGGAACGATCCTGGGAGGTAGTAGACAACGTGAACGTATCGCTACGTCTCTGGGACACGTTTGGCGATCACGAGAAGGATCGACGTTTCGCGTACGGCAGGTAAGAGCGTCCTCGAGAGCAGGATTTCCTGCTGCTGCGAGTCGATACTAATCGGATGGATCTCGTCAGGTCCGACGTCGTTTTACTATGCTTCTCCATAACCAACCCCGTTTCCTTGCGGAACTGCAAGGCGATGTGGTATCCCGAGATAAGGAGGTTCTGCCCGCAAACACCAGTCCTACTAGTCGGATGCAAAAACGATCTGCGATACATGTATCGGGACGAGACTTATCTCAGCTATTTTCGCGACCGCAGTCCCTTTGTAAGGTAAGTCATTTGCCCGCGAGAGACAGATCGATCGAGAGGATTTGCCGACAATCCCCTCGATCAAACCCAATCTTACACAGAAGTGCAGCATCAATTTCAGCGTTTTTGCTGAGATTGGATGTGTGTCGCTATCCGATAGCCGATATTTGTGAATTACAGATCCTGATCCTTTAACAAAAACGACTATATGTGCCCATATTCCACTTGCTGTCAATTTGTCAGTCAATTATTTCTTTGCATTTGAGATCTTCCCGTTTACTTCATATGTAATACTTTATATATGTAATAGGGATAGCGTGATTTTACAACAGACTAAAGCCAATCATTCTAAAAAAATATTTTTCAAAAGTCTAGGCCAGTTTATTCTGATCGCCCGGTCTGTTCTCCCGGGTTACATAGACGAAATTCGGTTTTATATAAAGCCGATTTTTTAATTCTATATAAAACCATCCAGTCGCATCGATGCTCTCAACAGTGGCCAGTTTACTGAAGTGTGCCGAAGTATTGATTTCATGGGAGTCTTCGTAAGCTTCCCCGGACTTGCCGGAATTCTTCCCTAACGCGGCGAAAAAATATTCATTACACGATCAGCTTATGCGACATCGCGGCATATGAAATTTATGACGCAGCCCCGCGATCGATCCAAAAGCTTAAAATTTCTTACGAACGGGCGTATGATCGGGTCGAACCAAAATTAACCGGACCTTGACATACGGCGAGTCTACTGTTCTCCCGGGAGAGAGCCTGAAGATTCCTCGTGACTTTCAGAAAGCTCTCTTTTCGTATGCTCATCATCCGCCATCATATTGACGTCATCGTCCGCTTACAGTTTTATCTTTCTTCGTTTCGATTATCCTTGTTACTAATGATACATCCAGTGATAATGATGACACGCACTCAACTAGAAATGTAACCAGTCGGTCTGAATCCAAAGCTAGCAGCCAGCTAGTAGAGGCTAGATTAAGTTCTCTAATTCGTTACATTAGCTCGTTATGGCATTTTAAAATTAGGTAATAAAACTGAGAATACATTAACTTTATAAAAGATAAAGAATTGAACGCTATTTTACTAATCAGAGCAACTACTTATGGTTTTTCAACTCATAACTGTCATTTTGTGTGTTTAATCGTCAGCTAACTTACTTATCTAGCCACTAGAAGAAGTGAGCGTTACATTATTAGCTGGTAGTGATGTTAGATACAAATTTTCGATCTCGTGGCTAGACACCGACACCGAGATTCAGTTTCTACTATCCCACTAGTAATCGCCCGTTCGTTCGATCGTGCGATTGTTCTCAGGGCTACGAGGAAGAGCGATCTGGTGATGCCGGATCAGGCGCGAGCGGTGGCGCGAGAACTCGGCGTGTGCTATTACGAGACGAGCGTCTTCACTTATTACGGTGTAAATGAGGTGTTCGAGAACTCGATACGAGCCGCCTTGATCGCGCGTCGTCAACAGCGTTTCTGGATGACGAATCTGAAGAGGGTGCAGAGACCTCTCTTACAGGTAATACGAGTACGAATTTAAATGATTTCGCGGTAAAATCTTATCTGCCAAACGATGATGAATAGTTCTCGCGATTGTTCGTACATACGAGAGATTTAAGGTGGACTGATGTGATGTGTTACATAACAATGTTACCGTTACAAGTCACTTTTCTTCACAGACAACTTAGTAACAGTGTGACTTTTCGTCGAAGATAACGGTAACGCAATTACATTTTTTATGCAACGCTGACAAATATAACTATAACTTCTATCGTTAATTCGTAACATGTAGAATACATTTACATGGTATGAAACGGTAATTGTAAAAAAGAGTCTTCAAAATTTGATGAAGAAAGCAACAGACTTGCTATTGCTTGAATAATGGTAACGAGTTGTCTTTTCCAATGAGTAACGAGTTGCTTTTAAAAAGTAAAGTTTCCAACCCATACAAGACTTGCAATCAATCAAGAAGATCGATCTCTTTGATGGCGAACTTAATTAAAACTCGAATCATCTCTTTTTCTCTCTCTCTCTTTCGCCTTGAAGTAAATCGCGGCGATTGATGAGAGAAACCTCTACGACTTCTCGACTGTATCGAGACGGCAATTTTGTTTGGCAGGCGCCGTTCTGCCCGCCGAAACCAGTACCGCCGGAGGTATGTCTGGCCTCAAGCACCTACGAGGAGAACATGAAGACCCTGTGGACGAAGCCGGTCCATACGGACGTCACTCTAATTGCCGGCAATTGTACGTTTTCGGCTCATCGGTGCCTGCTCGCCGCGGCGTCGCCGGCGTTCCATCGGCTGTTCTCGATGGAACTCGCCCACGAGTTAACACCGCGCAGCTCCAGCGAGTCCAGCATGGTATATCCCAGCTCTATCAGGTTCGGAGGTAGTAGCAGGATAACACAATAACACATGTTTCCCTTATTCTCGTCAAGGTGAGCACTTTCGGCGAGGCCACCGTCGGTGACTTCAACGACGATACCGAGTGCCTAATTCGTATCGATCAAAGCAAACCCGCAAAGTGAGTTCTGCCACGTATGTTTTACATCTGCGTAAGTTAACTCTTTATTCGGCGAGCCACGGCAAACGTATATATGGCGGGACAATTGCATTATCTTTTGTGATCGTATAACCAAGGTGTCGGAACTAACGCATGAACGGCTGCGGTTGGGTTGAAGGAAGTGTGATAGGAAGTGTGAACTCTCGCTTGATAATTAACATCACTAACAGACACGCATACACGCAATTAAAAGTGCTCCAGCTCACTATGTGGTCTACGTGCTTGCTAGCTATTGCTGTTGCTTGCGCGACGGTTGCCAAATAAAGAGTTAAAACGCCAGCGCCCCTTTAGCATTTTTCTCTTGCACGGTTTTCGTTCGATCTCGGCACAATCTACTTACGTAGCGACAGAACTGAGTTTGTGATCTATACTATAATCACGAGACGTTTGTATGTATTATCGGCCGCGGCGAGAGCCGCGATTAGCGTCCGGCACAAATGAATCGTGTACGTTGCAGAGTTTGGGAACAACTTAAGCGACGATCGAGTTTCCAAGTACTGCCGACGATGGATAATCAGAGAAAGATTAACGGCGCGACGAGGGAGCTGAATCATCCTGCCTTCCAAAATATTCGTACATGTCTGGTGAGTCACTAAATCACGCGATAGTCGCGGATAGTCGCGGACAGCAGTCTCTAAGTTTCTTTGAGCGAAAATCCACTCGAAAAGCAGCGTCACAGCCAAACTCGAGTTCGAGTAAACTTATATAGAGTGAATTTGAAGACTGCATTCGGCGAAAAAAGCAACTCAACGAGCGCTTAACGATTATTATCTGTGACTGGAGCATTCTTTTAGATTCTTTATAAACCCATGAGTATTTACCAATCAGGAGCGATAATTACCGAGCGCTCCATGAACCGCTCTTTCCGCTGAGTAGTTAAATATGAAATAAAATTAAAGTAAATTGAAACTAAAGTTACAAAATTATATGTTTTAAATTATCGAGCAAATATTTTCATGCAAAATTGAAAAACCTCATATGCTCTAAAGCCCATTAAAATTCATTATAAAGTTCATAGACACATTATATTTGTAAGCATTTATATAGAATGACTGTTGGTTATTCGAGAAATTGCCGATTTGTATGATGTACGAATATTTATAATGTAGTGTGCTTAATCGAAAATTTCTAATGCTACTATGTTAGGAAATGAGACAGTATTAATGGAATCTTGTTTATTCTCTATCGTTGTAGGAACAAATTCACTCGAATCAATTAAAATTCATACGCATTAGGTATATGTCTGTTCTAAGTTTGAATTAAACATTCACTCTTATAAATCCGAGTGGAGATATTTTCACTATTGCTCTGAGCGAGTGTTCACTCGTTTTGAGTGAGTTTTTACTTTGGGAAGCTTAGACCCGTATTAATAATACTAGAAATTTCCCTCACGCGAGATATTCAAGTCTGAATGTTCACATTACATCATAATCCTTCGATATTCGTGACGTTATTTCATTTGTAATTATAATTCAGCTGAAAAACTTGCTTCTAACTTCAAATTCAGATCTGAATTGAAGTAAGTTTCAAATAATAATTATTAATACGGGCCTTAGAGAATGGTTTCACGTCATCTGAACTAATCATCGAATCCAAACCCTTCGCAGACTGAGAACGCGAACGGAATGCAGCAGCCCACAACGGTGGTCACGCTGTCCAAGCTGATCACGCCGCAGGCGATGCAGCAGTGTTTGCAATTCATTTACACGGAAAGCTTGGATAAACGGTATCACGATCTACAAGTACGTTGGATCGGTAGAAAATTTCGTAAGAGGCGTATGTTCGGAGAACGTTTAAGGAGATCCGGCCCCCCTCCCCTTTTTATGGGATTAAACTGCAGAAGACACGCACATGTAAAAGTGAGAGTAAGCGAGGCAGTATCCCGAATGAATCGAACGATGAAGAGCGATCTAGTAAGCTTACGATCTTGTAGGCTTGCGGTACGTGTGAGACTCAATCGAACAAGTTTCTACTCTTCTGAGTTGAGACGCCTTTGCGTTTTGCGCGGCCTCTTATTCGTATCAATTATCATATTGTCAGTATATTAATTAGCGACACGTATATGAAGTTTCCTCGTAACGATAATTATATCGAGCGCCAAAGTAGAGATCGCGATCGGTTTATCGAGGTCCCCGAGAGCGTATCGCGTCTGCGGCGCACTAAAATCGCAAGTGTTGCAAAAATATACAGTAACTAACGCGGATCTATTCTTTCAGACAGCTCCTATCGGGCTTCTACTGGTTAGTACAAAAGCGAAATGCGTTTTGAAAACTTGGCAGTCGCATTAATACATACGTATACACGTTAACATGCGCACGCACGCACGCACATAGTAGCCTCATCCAGCGCTGATCTTTACCCGACTTGAAAGATTCAATTGCGAGATCATATCATCATATACGAGCATGCGCCTTTCCAATTACGCGACTCGCGTATCGATTTTTTCTTTTTATAAAAACTTATGACGCATTACCGAGCACTGATCTGCTTTTCGTTCGCCGACGAAATAGATCAAACCAAACGGAATCACGAAATGAATGAAAGTTACATTAACGTATGAAAATTACGTTATCGGCCGAAATTGTGCCGACGCGGCTTGAAGGCGTTCGATCGTCGCGTTTTCGGGAGAATGTTATTTCCAATGACGAGACGATGTCGCACGTCGATCTTCGGTCTCGCCAATAGGCCATGCTCGTTAAGCTTATAGTTCGTGAATCATCGCTATCGTAGCATCGTCTTCGACATCATCGAACAGGGGGATTTCTCCAAGAGACGGATCGGCTAATTCTTGGGTCGGCCGATCGCGGGTCTGCATGAATACGCTTCCAAATCGTTCTCATCGACATTCTAGAATCACTGCCTAGCGCGAGATAGGATCTCTAGCGAACCGGAAGCAATTAGATCTCGTGTCGTTTTCCTATCGTCGATCATTTCTGCGTTGATGGTGATCGTGATGGCGCACGGCGTGATTCCCCGATCGCTCTTGTCTGCAGGAGATCAGACAAGCGGCCGAGTTCCTCGAGCTACCGCAATTACTCATGGTGCTCGGTAGCATACAGACGCGGGAGCAGTTTGTCAATAGCGATCTCAATAAACGGTACAAGCAAGTGGTTAGACAACGATTAGAAGACATCTGCTTGGAGCAAGGTGGGCATCGACTGTCGTTAAGACTGTCTGCCTCAAGTCGCAGCCGTATATTGAATGAATTAAAAGAAAAAATTTTTTCTCTCAACAAATTTTATGGTCAGTTTCAGTGCCAAAAAGATTGATCTAGCGTCAATCTTTTTGTTGTTTGAACAAAAAAATACTAGTAACGATATGCATGTGAAGTTATCATTGACAACACTACAACGTTCACTACAAAAATTCTCTAGTTGTGATTATTTCATCATATGGTCACACAACACAACACAGCACAACACCCATATACACATACGTGTTGAATGAATTGAGAGAAAAAAATTGTTAATCTCACTGCAAATTTTATAGTAATTTATAGTAATTTTATAGTAATTTTCGGCGCCAACTTATATCTCTTTGTTCTAACAAAAAAATACTAATAGCAATATGCATGTGAAATTATCGTTGACAACACTGTAGCAACGTTTACTATAAAAATTCTTTGGTTCGAATTATTTCAACATGCAATTATAGTCACAGTTACCAAAGACTTTTTGCTACACTGAGATGGATATATATATATATTTTTTTTTCTGGACGTGTAACGCAAAGAGAAATAGTTCACCTGAGCCTTTGTTTTTGATCTGACGATTCGATACGGTTGTGATGTTGGAAGCAGGAGCCTTAATCGCGTGAAAAAGGACAAAATAATATTAGGGTAAGCTCTCGATCGTACATATAATGTGCTTTAGGTCTTTTCGCCGATGTGATGTTCGAGTTGGACGACGGCAGCGTACCGGCCCACAAAGCGATTCTCACTGCCCGATGCGACGTGATGAAAGCCATGTTCTCTGGCGATTTTCGCGAAAGCAGCGCAAAAGTCGTAAGTGTACTTTGCGTAATCTACGCTATAAAAAAGTTCAGTGGAGATGACTCGAATCGAATTGAATAATCTCAACTTCAGGATTGTATGTGGCAGATTGTTCTCAGCAAAATGTGTTTTTCATCTTTTTTATTTATGTAAAATAAGCTGTAAGTTCAATGAAGGAATTATGAGACCGATATGACATGTTACTAATCGTATTTATCGCTTGATTTACTCAACTTCTTAATTAGAGACAGAATTATCGTATTATGCAATTTAAGTTTTAAAAACAACTAAGTTTCGTTAATATCTTCTACTGTCGAAAATTCTTTAATTCAAATTCCCACGTCATATTGTAAATCCGACTCGATTTTTACTTAGTTTCACTCGATTGTAATTTATGCGATAAAATTTGAGCAACTCGGAGACCAAGCTCTTTTTATCCGAGATTTTTCTTCGTCCGTGTTTGTATATATGTAGCAGAGGCTTGATTCTAACAATTTACAAACTATTTACATCGATACACCAATCGCATCAATTATATTACGACGGTTCTATCGATTGTGATGAATTAATGAGGACGTGTTTCGCGATTGTCCCGACGACAGATAGTCTTTCCTGGAGTGCGGGAGTATACATTCCACAAGTTGCTCTGCTACCTTTACACGGATGAGGTGCCGGCGATCTCCTCGGCCAGATGCCTGAATCTACTGGAGCTAGCCAACAGACTCTGCCTTCCACGATTGGTGAATCTAGTCGAGAGCAGAGTGATCGAGGATCTCGATCGCCTGTCGCAGAACGAGGGGAACGAAGCCGTTGAAAACTGCCTGAGGCTGTTGGAGCCGTGCAAGGTTGGTGTTTCGTATTTTCCTTAATCGAACGTACGAAAAAACAAACGAACGAACGATCGATCGATCCGTTTCGCTTCACACGGATTAAAGACGCGCAATAACGTAGCGGTGGCGATGCCCGTTTAACGCTTAGCTACGACTTGCAGCTGCATAATGCCGATCAGTTGGCCGACTGGTGCATGAATCATCTCTGCGTTAACTATAATAAGCTGTGCAAAATGTCGCCTCGCAGCGTACGGCTACTTCATCCGGAGAATCAGGAGTATCTGAACGAGCATCGATGGCCGCCGGTCTGGTATGTAGAAACGTCAAACACATTTCTATATCTTTTCGTTTGAATTATTTCGACCGCGGTGTGCACATAGCACGACTCTTACTTAAGTTGATTATTACCATGGCGGTAAAAACATTTGCCAAAATATGGAGATTATTGGACAGAGTACGTAGAGAGATTGGGAGTGCAGAAATTATTGCATATCTGAATTTAAAAAATCTTTCGATCTACAGGCTGACAATTGAAACCTTGGTCTCTCGTCTCGCGGCCATTTTGACTTATGACGTCAAAAGAGCGAGAGAATACACGCGTTAAATATTTTTGCAAAATACATTCAGATATCTAATTAAATCAATTAAAATATAGATATCGATATAGGTATCGATTAAATCGATAAAATCGATTAAAATGATATTTGCGATCAATCGAGCGAACGCACAAAATAATCTGAACATTTTCTCTTTGTTCAAACAATAAATAATCGTAAAATTAATATGACACCTTCCTCTTTAATCTCATCTTTCCTTATGATTTCGTCACGTTAATTTTACGATTATTTACTGATTGTTTGTACAAAAGGAAAGTATTAGGATTGCATATTCGCTATCTGCTTGATCGATTGCAAGTATCATTTTATAGATACATCTATTTATTTCAACGTGTTTTGCAAGAATTTTTAGCGTGTATTTTCTCGCTTCATCAATCAAGAGTTCTACGGCGAGGAGACAAGAGTTTTTACCAGTTTGTCAGTCACTTTTCCACCTAATAATTTACCTTTAAATTAATATTCAACTTATCTCATTTATATATAATTTATAATATATAATATATTTATATATTTATATATTTATATATTTATATATTTATATATTTATAATATATAATTTATATATAACGCGAACTCTCTGCATAATTCTCACTGCTATGACCTCGCATCGTCTTTTAACATGCTCACTATACTACGGTTTGTTCAGAGAACTCTCCACAGTCCATCTCGTATTTTTTTCTTTCTTTTACGTAATTGTATAAAACAGACTTGTTTTAATAATATGGATAATAGAAGGACAATTTTTGCCGTCACACATATATAATATTGATAGTGAACGTGTTAAATTAAGTCGACAGAGTCGAATTGGCGATCGTATCTTTAGCCACCGCTGCCGACCACTGTTCAGCTTGAAATATCAGCGCGGTCTGTTCGACAGGTACTTGAAGGACTACGATTATTACCAGAAGTGTCTAGCGGAGCAGGACCGCGAGAACAAGCCGACGTTGAAGCGAAATCGTAATCAGTCCGGCTGCCTCTGCTTTTCGGGTTCGAGCAAAACCAGACGGGAAGGCAACAATGGTGGAAACGGCGGCGGCGGCGGTGGCGGCGGTACGACGTCGACGACATCGAACGAGACGCCCGCGGATCGGCCGCTCTTCGACGCCTCCACCGAATCCGGCGAGCAGGCCGTATGACAGGAGCCAAGCGGCCTCAGCCGCTCCGTCAGATTCATCCTGATTCTACCTGTGCTCATGGTCTTCATATGCACTATTTTTACCATTTTGATACTGCTACAGATTTATACTTAAGCGACTGCAAAGACACCCCGACGAGACTATATGTGCGTACATCTAACACACGTAAGTACACGTAAACAAAAATACACAAACAAATAGACACATACACAACACACACATATAAATATACACATTTACGCGAAATATACGTGATGCCGATGATTATCATGCCACGAGAACCGACCCAGGGCCAGCCAGGGCCCTGCATTCGATTTTAGCCCTTCGAGGTTCTTTCGAGTTCTACTCCCTTGTCTCGCGCGCGCGCGCGATTAATTTTTTAACGGAGCCATTCTCCGCGTGCCATGTGCATTTTTAAGAGCGCGACAATGTCGACGACGACGACGACTCGGATTCTCGCGAGTGTCCGGGTAAATTTTTCTACGTGTACTTGCGAATCTCGCGACAGCTCACACTTTTATCTTCGGCGCGAGAAGATTGTATATCTCGAGGGGAGACTTTGTATTTTCTACGCGTGTTGATTCTTCGAGGCGTGTACACTCAGAGACAAGATTGCGCGGAGACTGATGCGAATAAGGGCCGAAGTCATTTTTCTTCCTTTATATTCGTGTTTCTCTTCGTAGATATGACGAGCGTTGCAATAACGACCGTTTTACGATCAAGTGTGTCTCTCAACATCTTGAAATACTAATAATTTACAAAATGCGAACAAGTAGAACTAGAGGCTACGTAATATCTTCTCTTTTTCATTGTACATCGGAGAATTGCGATTAAAATTATCTTCTTATTCAATTAAGTGATGGAGATATTCTTCCCGTAAAAAGTGAAACACCATATCAGAATTAAACAAAGAACACGAAGACTTGGCTAGTAGTTCGAGCAAACCAACAAATGACAAAGCTATCGAAACATCCTGTACACTGATAAACCGATGAACGAGCATGGTCACCAACATATTTCCCGTGGCTAAAAGGCAGGATCATCGAGGAAACGTAGAAATCGTAACCTCAGACTCCGCTCATCGTTGTCCCTGATTGTACGTTCCCTGTGAGAACTCAATGATTTTAAAGCGCCGCGACTTTCGCGATGACACACGTCCGCGAACAGCGCAACGCGCTTTAGTCCCGCTAAAATCGTCGCCGCCTTCGTCGATGCGCGGGAGTCCCGATGAATTCGGTATTCACCGAAAGCGCCGGTGTACAAAGGTAGGAAGTGAAGAGGAGCACGGTGCTAATAATATTGTCGTCCTGTCATCGATGCGTGTTTAGACTGAAGAAACTGAGCAATAGCTTTAGTTCGTAGCGCAGCTAATAAGCGATATCGTGAGATGCAGCGTATCAGCCTGCCAACAAGTCGACCACCTCTCTCTCATTTCGGTTAGTCCGTTAATTCTACCGATGGACAGGGAGTTGTCGAGCGAGTCTCACACGGCCGGCGGTCAAATGGCAATCGGCCAAATTGTTGTCCCGTTGCACCGTTCGCTTCAGAACGAGAGCAAGATGCGATCGGCTTCTCAGAAGGTTAGATCGATCTTGCGTTACTTTACCGTATAGCGGTGTTGGGCGTTCGCGCGATGTATTTTAGATGAACGACACGGTTATCGACCACTTGACGAATATTTGTGTTGCCGATCGAATCGGTAAGAATCCTCGATCGATTGTACACAATTGTCAAATTTAACTGTAATTAAACGCGACACGCGTTTGACACGCGAAGGAACTACCATTTTGTTTTCATGAATTTTCGCATAATAAATGTAGAACCCGAAAAGCAGAGACTGATTGCGAGAGAAACTTGTGAATCGTTATTGAAAGGTTAAGTCGCGATCTTACATTGAGTGAAGCGATTGACCGTTACTGAAGATCTAATCACACGAGAAAATCCATCGCGTTTTACACACAGGGAGAACTGAAACAGGTTGGCACACTTTTCGGCGTTAGAATATCGGCATCAGAATTTTTCAGACAATTAATCGTGATTTTTTATTATAAAAAGGCGATAGGGACAATCTTCCTCCTATATCTTTATGCCAAAAACGATTCTATAAACCGTACACTGAAAGAAAGAAATGATTGGTCTAACTAAATCTATAGTCATTTTTGGTCCCAACCATACTTTGGTTGTTCTAATACAAAAATAATACTAGCGGATACGCGTAAAATTACTATCACTAATATTATAATAGAATTTAATAAAAAAAATAGCTTTTTTCATCATAATTTATAATAATCACTTCTCTGTGTGATTATAATTGCAAATACCAAATACTTTCTTCCCAGTGTATGCTTTTTTTCTTGCAATAATCAAGACACTATATCGCGGCCAACCTACTTTTTCCTACAGAGAAAAAGAAAAACGAAACACGCTGTCAATTCGTAGGCAAGATTAACGGAAACGCACAAAGTAAGAGAATTCGCAAATGCAAGTGGTCAATGATCGCGTAGTGGTGAGTAACTATTAAGAGCTTTACTCCACAAGTAGAGTACTAAAACTATCATCTTATACGTAAACGCGACTAAACTGACGCGTAAAGTACAGATTGTTTCTCACCTGAGCGCCCGAGAGGTACTCCGTGAAGTCGTCCGGAAGACGTCTGCGAAATTTAGACGTCGATCGAATGTCTCTCGGACGTATCTCCTCGGACATTCGTCTTAGAGGCTGGTCCGAGCGATAGCGCCTAACTACATATAAAGTGATAGTTGAAACATTCTACGCCGTGATTGTCGTCGTTTACTCAAAGACGCCCAAGACTGGTACGTAGTCGTTGCGAAGACACGACGTGTAAATATCGTGTAAATTCGTGCGAGAATTTGTACTCTTTACGAAGAAGAATATGCGGCGTTTTCTTTCCGCCTCCCCTTCGATCAATCCGTACAATCAGCGATAAACGGAATTTTACCGTTTCCCTTTTTCTTCGTCTTTTTACTTTTTTTTTGTTGTTTCCTTTTTTCCTACGCGAGAATTTCTCGCATCTTCAACGAGATTTCACAGAGGCGACCTACAATCGCGATAATTGTTCGTTTTCTCGCGGAAGGGAGGGAACTGATCAGCGCTAAATCACGGCGGCCGCGTCAACATATCGATTTATGATAATAAGTTACCGCTTCGATGACATTGCCATCGTCACTGTCACCGCGGCAGTAACGAGATCTATCATAGATAGTGAGAGAAGGAGAGACGATTACGTTTGTAACGGATGTAATGTACCTAGGAAATTAGGACCTAGATAAGGCAAAGCTTCCTATTTTTTTCGTTCACGAAGACACCGTCGCGTTTCGACCGGGATGCGAATACTATATTCTGTTACAGAGATTTTCACAGCGATATTACGTCGGCTTGGACTTTCCCGTTGAATTGTAACGTAACGTGTAACCCATAAGTCCTCTGTGAAGTTGTTGATTACTTACGATACCTCGGAAACTCGGAGATTTCGTCGCGCGAAATCTTCGCAACTTCGTAAGTGTGTCGGACGGTTTTTGCAACAAGACAGAGAAACGTAGCCTCGCGTTACACGGCTCGGTTGTAAGCGCACACACAGACACGAACACACACACACGACACACACACACACATACACACACAATTGGACTAGCGTAATATTGATAATTACTAATAACGATATTACCAATAGTGATAACATGTAATCATTAAGCTAATCGGTGTTAAGATATTATCATTGATAATTTGATACTTGTTAGTTGCGATCGTTCGCATAATCATCCTCGCATATATTATACTTCCCGATCAATTCATTCATATCCGCGATTATGGAACAATAGAGAAAGAGGGATAGATAGATTAAAATTTGTACTACAGAGACGAGAGAGAGAAAGAGAGAGATAGCGAGATAGTACGAGGTGCGTATTAGGAATTAGAAGTTTATAAACGGGACGAAGAATGAACGAGAGTGAGAAGGAGGATAGATAGTACGATTTGCACGTTGTATATCGCGCGAATGCAGAAATTACGAAAAAACAAAAAAGAACTGAAGAAAACATGATGAATTTTTTTTCTCAAAATCGAGACGTATCAAGGTGAGTTTCTTTCTCTCTCTGCCTGCCCTTCGAAATTAATTTCGATTCGTCTGCGTTTTATTTTTCTTCCTTTCTTTCTTTGTTCTTTACGCGATTTTACGCCGCGACGAACATTTGTAACCGACATACGCATTCGCAACAATTCGCGCTACTGCCCTATCTATAGCGAAATTATGTTTAAGCGAGAGAGGAGACGCGCGAGGAGAGAAAACATGGATTCGACGTAACTGGACGCGCACGTGTGTGCGTGTCTGTTGCGACGAGGATGATGAGAATAACGTCCCACTTGTACGCTACGTCAATTTCGATGTCAATGTTGCCCTTCGTCGCTCGTGTATATAATGTATCTTAGCCGTAAGTGTATATTTTATACTGACAAATTCATAGAGTTATAAGCGCGCGCGCGTGCTCGGGTCACCGCGTACCGATAACGACGATCGACAAACAGCAAAGAAGATTTTTACACGCGGTGTTCTCTCGCGTTTTGCGTCCTCGGGGATGAGCGAGGGAGGAGAGTAGGGAGTGAAAATAAAAGAAGAATAAGACGGAAGAAAAGAAAAATGGTTTCTCACCGCGGAACGATTGTCACCTCGACGTTATCGAAGCGATACGAGAGACACCAGATAAGATAATACAATTCGTCGTCCGACGTCTCGCAAAACACAATTAGTTTATTAGCTTATCTCAATTGTGTTCTTTTGATCAGTTCTCCTGCCACTGATACCGCTTTGACGACGCCTTGGAGTCATCTCAATGCGACGATTGTGAACGAGATAAGACGGACGCTTTTAGATACTACAGGCATATAAGTGGCATTTTGAAAAATGTCATATAGTCTATTTGTGTAACGTAACGTGGTCCGGCCGCGCATTGCTTATCTGAGAAATGACGGTGGGTCGAGTCTTTTCAAGTTACGCGCGAGTGAGAATCTCGATTTGCAATTTAATGCGAGCGTCGCGCTCAAGATTTTTATTTTTCAACTCAAGCCAATCTCGAAGCAGACGACTCGACGAAAGTTATCCCGTGCGGGATGGTCGACAAGCGCGGAATTTTATGGGACTCTAGAGATAAAATAGAACAGAGTGGAAAGATCACACATTTCAGTAGGATCGCACCGATCAAAATTATTTCATCTCGCCGAGATCGTCAACTAGGGGTGATGCTCGACGAAAACAGAGCGTCAATCATAAATCTTTTTCTCTAGCGTGAAATCGTGAAAAGTCTAAATTGGAAAATATATCGGAATGTTCATTTTTCACGAGTTTACATTAGAGGCAAAGATTCATGATTGCCTCCAAACGCTGCAAAATTATTCATCTTTCACGATTTCATACAATCAATTGATTAAAGGTAGCAACACTTCTCCTCGATAAGAGTTTCATATCCCATATCCAATAAGAGAATGTTTTTTTAGTAATTGTTAAGAGATATGTTTCCTATTGGATATGGAATGGAATATCCAATTCCTATTGGATATTGGATGTGAAATTTATTCAAGAAAAATTTTGCTACACTTAGTCAATTGTATCAGGAAAAAAAATTACATTATTAAAATCGCATGAAAAGATCCATAATTGATGTCCAGATCTCGCGGGATTATAAAAATCCTCGATTACTTTCATATAGCATCTATTGCTTTCCGCTCTTGATCCAGGTAGAACAAAAATCATGATTACCTCAAAATGACGAGAAAATGATCGAATCGTGATGAAAAAGTGAGTTTTCCTTGTCATTTTTGGTCAGTTGGGTGTTTACACGTAATTTATGATATTCTATGTTTACGTGTAGATAATGTAAACTATATATTAGATGTCATCTATATAGACAATGAGTAATTTATGAATGTCATTCAAAGAGCGTTCGCTCAAAAATTGATTAAGAAAAGTTTATATTTTCGTTTGATTTTGTTAGAATCTTGATATATATTTATAAACGTTCTTTTCTAAATAACATAGAAAATCCACAAAATTTTTTGATTATATTCTTATCTTCAAAGTTAAATCTACTAATCTAACATGTAATGAAAATTTTATGTAACTGGTTATTTTTTTAAATCACGTTACACGTTTATAATTAATACCTAAAACAGATACGGTCACTATCTCATAGTGTGTTACTCTTTTTTATATGTTATATAATATAATTTACAATATTCTATGTAGTTTACATGGTCTACACGGAAAGAAACGCGTATATATCGCGTAGACGATACGTGAACAATCAACGTAGACGTAATCTTGAAATCTACGGCACAACCGTGATTTTCTGTTCTACCTGAGTAGAACCTGGGGCGGTACGTTTGTCTGATTGCGGTAAATTATTGATATCTATTATATCTTGGACTTATTATACACCCGCGACTGCAGTCAGTTCGCGAATTTCACAGATCGCGAAATTCTGCGATCACACAACGGTCACACCCGCTACTTTTGCATCCCCGATCGATCGGCACAAGTCTAAAGATGAGCCAAGGTCTTTTGTGCCCTCGCCGCGACCATTTTGATTAATGACATCAGAAAAGAGAGAAAACGTATGCCCAAAATTCTTGTCGAAATAAAAGATTATAGCCATAAAATCACACTTATGATTGATTGAGCATATGTTTGCAAAATATTTCGGAAACTTCTTTTATTCTAATAAGGCCGTTTGCTTCGACTTCTTGGTAAGTAAACTGATGATTAAGGACCGATTATTTAAACTTCTTGGTAAGTTACCTGACAGTTAAATTATGTATCTGTCTCTATCCAATTTAAAAAAAAAAAACTAAGGCAAACATATGATTTAACTGTCAGATAACTTATCAAGAAGTTGGAACAATTCCCTCAATCATATATCTGTCCTCTATATCTGTCTTTGTTTTTGCTTCGACTTAGACAAAGACATACATATGATTTAGCTATCAATTAACTTACCAAGAAGTTGGAATAACCGGCCCATAATAAATAAAAGGTCGTAAAACTAAAGTCTCAGAGACAACACAACTTACTAAAAGGTGTCTTCAAAACGTCCAAAAGACATTCCATTTCTTTTAGACGTCTTTCGGATATTTTTAAAACATCTTTTAGGAACTTGTGCTGTCGAAGGTGACAAAATCATGAGAAAATGTAGGCTGAAAGGAAAAGTTGCATATCATATTAATTTTACGGTTATTCGTTGATTGTTAGAACAAAAGGAAAATTTTCGAGATATTTGACAAATGTGCTCAATCGAACCCAAGGGTTACTTTACAGACATATTTCTTTTAGTTCAACGTATTTCGTGAGAATTTTGGGCATGCGTCCTCTCGTATCAATTCTGACGATATCAATCGAGGATTTCAAGGCGAAGGATCAGGAGCCTTGATAAAAGAAGCACGCGTTGTTTGTCTTTCTTTTTCTTTCTTTCATAGCTATCGTTGTAACAAAAGAAAACCAATAATGCTAGTAGCTAGTAGCTCTTAAATGACTTATTCTGTGACAGCGTATGAGAGAGAGAAAGAGAGATTTAAGTCCAACGATATCCTGAGGAAAACGTATGCGGAACGCGAGACGGAAGCGCGGAGAAGAACGTAGTTTGAAAAAGGATCGGCCGACAATCCACAGTTGTAATTTCGCACTATCCCGATCGATCGAACCGACCACGACAATTACCGGCGTTTTTCGGCTCAGTCTAGTGCGTACGGATGCGAATCGTCGTTCCACGCTCATCTATCTCAAAGGGTGATAATAGTCTTCACGATATAACGTATATAATTATATGTACATACATATACGTGTATGTATGTATGTATGATAACACGCACTATTTTTGCGTACCGACGTGATAAAAAAAATACCTAGCGGATATGACTGTGTTATTTGTACGAGTAATCTCATTCGAGGCACAGGATGTCCTACCGCATCGTTCATGAATAAATAGATTTCTTTACGATATATCTGACGTTTGAAAATGTCTTACCTTAGACTCCTAATAATCTTCGCGTACCGATCACACGTCGATTAGCCTCTCCAAGCTTTCCCGTTACGGCACGGTTGACGAAAAACTATCAGTAATGCGTCATCGTGTACTTACTTCAAGTTACTTCAAGTACTTACACTTCGTGTAATTACTTCAAAAATAAAAATTTACTTGATAACAGTTTGCATATAATTCATTGGTTGATGACAACTTTGCATATATTTTCTCCTTGATTATATTCGCTCGTTTACTTTGTTTATATGCACAATTTTTATTGCCACAACGTTCTTTATTCGGCAAGCCTTTCGATATTTGTATTGCTAAAGATTTATGACAAAAGTACTGGTTCAAAGTTTGTAGTTACCTTGGAAAATGCGAGCATTATATGTTAATTATTGTTCCAACTATTTTACCTTGTTAAATGCGTTAATATTAAAGATAAAACAGATTTATATCGAGAACGTTCCTTCGCGTGAATTTTCACGATTACCGTTATTGAGATAGTCGAAAAATTTGCTTCAGCTATTCGATAGATGGCGTCATACATTTAACCGATTGTGGCGACATTAGCCGTACAGTTGTCCAACTACCGACTTTGGACTACGTCCAACGGTGTTTAAGTTGGTGGCACATAGGCTGTGTTCCGATATTTACTGTCAGTATTGAAAATCTATAGTATACGTAATGCGTAGTATGCGTTCGGAAACACACACTGTGTGCCCACTACTAGACGATAGCCGTTAGAATAAGCGAAATACAAGAGTGAGATAAAAAGAGAGGGAGAGTACTCGAGTAACGTTTCCGAACGCAGCCTAACATGAATTATAGATTTTCAATATTGGCAGTGAATATCGGAACAGAGCCATAGAAAAACATAAGCAGTAAGACGTAAGCAGTAAACAAATTGACCAATCACAGTCATTGATTCTTCTTACGATTCAAGAATCAACGACTGTGATTGGTCAATTTGCTTAAGTTTTTCTGTGTGCCACGGCCCTTAATGACAGACTAATGGCTTCTGCACACAGGACGCGGTAATGCTTGCTGCGCGGCGGAAGTTCACGCGACAGTCAATCAATATGTTGTTTTTCCGTAAGAGCTAGAAGGTTATTACGGAAAGCAGCATATTGATTGGCTGTCGCGCTAACTTCTGCCGCGCGGCAAGCATTACCGCGTCCTGTGTGCAGGAGCCATAAGAGTGCCATTACATGAAGCGCGGAAACGCGGAAGACAAATCTTACTAGATTTCCGCGTTCCGCGAATTTAATCATTTCTTTCCGTACGTTGAAAAAGCGGAAAAGCGGAAGACCCAAAACTTTTCTCTATTGTTTTTTCATCCAAGGTACCAGCCTTTTTTGGAATTTAAGGTATAAATTCCAAAAAAATATCAGGTCTTAACGTGTTTGAACACGTCTTAATGTAACGGCGGTTAGGTTGAACAACTTGTGACAACTTGTGACAATGGATTTTTCCGCGCTTGTTCCGCGACTTTATTTCTCTTTGTCTTAAGGTGCCAATACATGGGAGAGTTCCAGCGTCGAGCGTTAAAGCGTTAGCCAATCAACGTATCAGGTCCTAGAAGTATACTTGTAGTTCTTGCGGAAAGTGGCACGTTAATTGGCTACCGTTTTAACGCCGATGCTTGATGCTCCCATGTAAAGGTATCTTTACATGGAGCACAATATGCGCGGAAAGCGAAACGGTTTGGTGACAAATAAATATATGTATTTATTTTTTAAAATTATATTAACTTAATTTACTGCAATTTTTACCAATATGTTTATCTTTTCAGCTTGATCTGTTGAATACAAGCATTTTAATTAATAAATACCGTTAAAAATTAATATTTTATAATTCCCCATACCACTTTTCCACTCAAAATAATTAATCATGTAATTGCCTTATATTAGGGTACGTTCAGATTCCCTACCCGGGTGCACTCTAATACTAGAAGTGCTATAGTATATGTAACATATACTATAGTGTTTCTAGTAATAGAGTGCACCCGGGTAGGGAATCTGAACGCATCCTAATATAAGGCAATTGTTACGTCCCGGCGGGTTGCGGCCACGCTGCCGTGAAGAATAGCGCTCGAACCCTAGCACGGGATCAGATCGCAATTTTTCGGGCTAAACGAATCGTGTGATTCTACCCGGGGATCCGTGCGATCAAGGGCAATTACGATGGATTTCGCGCAAGACGCATAGTATAACCACCGTAGTAACCTTACGGTGGATTGGACAGTCGCAGGCTTTAATCGTAGTTTCGCGCGTATAGAAATAATGTAGATAATAACTTACCAATCGTCCACCGTGCGGTTGCTCTCTGTACCCCTCTCGTGATGGCGCTCTCGTGGCTTACATGGATCGGCACCTCCTGGATCTCTAGGTGCTGCCGACTCTGGGAAACCTCGTTCTGGATCGCGCGGCGGCGAGTTCGAATATTCGAATCACTTGTAATTGACCGATGGGCACTAGGGAGGAACACCGCACGTCGCGGTTTCGCTTAGGCGTAGGAGGAAATGTGCCGTGTAAGGATGTTCGAATGGGAGGGAGTAGAAATAGAATTACTACAGATAATATATATATATATATATATATATATATATATATATATATATATA